ATACTCATACGGCAAAAAAGTCTATTAACCGGCAGTTGACTTCTGACTTTAAACTACCATAACCCCACTGGATGCCATATTCTACCACTTCCACAGCAATCATTCTTCATTTTCTCTGCCTTGGTGTCAGTCTCTTCTACAACTGTAAACCACTTTTCTATTCCCCATCCCTCGACTTTCTGTTGCATTGATGTTCCTTCCCCCTGTGAAGCCCGAAGTCAGCTAAAGGGCTCATGATAACTATCATAACGCCTGCTAATCGAAATAAATAAGTAAATTTTTATCTATATTATATAGGTATCGTTTTAAAGGCACGGGATTTAATAAGACGAAATAATAGTAAATTGGTTAGTTCAAGTTTTTTAGTAAATTCAAAGCGTCTGAATTTATTCCTGTTTAACAACTGTAAATTTTATTTATAAATTTTGATAAGATAAGTTATTTCTTTAAATGTGCGTTAGCCTTAACAGACATAATAGCAGTGTTACGACGTTTACTTGATTAACCATTAAGTTAATTAAAGACAATTTGATATTTACAAGAAATAAATTGACATGTCTAGCTGCCTACGTCTATAATACATTTGTTCGAATAAAGGTAACTGCAGACATCTTTAAATTCATGGTTCTTCATTGACTAAAATCGTCACATTTTCAATATATAACTCCATTTTATGTTATTATATAGTTAATATTGTTACCCAAGGGACATTAATTAAATTTTGGTGCAAGAGTACTCAGATAAATTAGTTCACTGTATATTACAAACGGTTTGATATTTCGAGATCCCAAAAAACATAATATGACAATATGTACATAAAAAAGGCAATACAACAGAAAATTACCTAGAAGAGTTATTGAGAAATAATTTAGTCTAAGAGCTTGAACCCTAAAAACCCTGAAGTGTCATAATGGCTTCTGTGATATTTCAATTTCTGTGTATTACGCTATGAAAGCCATTTATTCTTGTAACCAAACAACATTGATTCCATTAATATTGGAATGGAAGTAAAGGTGATTGAATTCGTGAGTTAAGAGAACGAAAATTGTATATAAGAAACGGAATATATTAACCTCAGATTATCAGATCAGCTCCATACATTGAATTTACTTTGTTCTAAAGGAAAATATGGTTCATGCTTAAACATATGAGAATTTAACCGAATTTTGTGAAAAATTTCCTTTCAATAAAGTTCATTAAGTTTTTTTTCATCTTCAACTTATATGCTATTAAAACTATAGAAATTAAATGAGCACATACCCTGGTGAATGTAATAAAAAAATATTTAAACAAATGGAAGCAAATGCACTTAAATATTATTGTATGTTTATTGCATCATTTCGATATTCATAATAAACCACATTGTTTAAATTTTTTAATTAAATTTCATTTTTTAAAAGCTTAAGCAAAATGTACTTCAAAGAAAGTTTTGTTTTGCATAATAGCAAACAAATATATAAAAATGACAAAATTGTACTACTTCTGTTTTCACAATGTCATTAATATCGGACAAACGAAAATTCGCTAATCAAGCCTTTGAGTATTCTCTTAGGTGGATAATTTAATTGAAAATTCAAAACGTGTTTTAAGTGTAATAATCGTAAAATGTACAAAATTCCTAACGATTCAGCCAATTGTGTGGTTTTCCCATAATTTTATTTTACAGAAATACACGAAATTTATTAGTCCATTTTATTAATTCACAGAAACACATATTAAAATGCAGAAATTTTATTTTTTTATGTATTACGTGAAAATTTTTTATAATCTATTTGAAATAATTTTTAAGTTCACGCATCATCCAACTCAGTAGTGCATGTTATTCAATTTGCAACAGGTGAATTCATTTAGACGCAATAACCCACCCATTTTACGATATTGCATCGAGCGTTGATTCAATTTTATTGATATATTCTGATAAAGTATTTGATTCTATGAGTTGTTAAGGTTTCAATTAAAACTCCACGCAACAATATTTTTGATTCGAAGGGTTGGATGGGAACAGAACAAAATTGATATTAGTGAGGAAATTATGAAAGCATTAGATTTCCATCATGTCCGCAGTAGAAATTCTATTTTCGTTTCAAGTTATTGCCAATCTAGCGGTTTCTTAACCACAAATTAGCCAACTCCTCTACGGTATAAGCTATTCCATTCTAATAATGATGCGCCTGTTCAATGACCTGGTTTTATTGATCTGAGTTTAGCTTCTTATGCCATTAATGTGTATGATTCTACCGCCGACTCACAATATAAATTCGCTGTTTCTTAATCCCAGACTATTAAAGGCACAACCACACTCGCTTACCCCTCCCCCCCGCCTTACTTTCTGCAATTGTAATGGGCGCTGTTTTAACTTTCATTCCCTCCGGACTTTTCGCAACTGAGCTCCATTAAAAATCGTATTTACTTTCATAGTTATATTATCGCATTAAAAATTGGCAGAAAATTTTGGGGGAAACTAAGAAAATCTTTAGTAAGAATTAGTTTCCCTTGCTGCTATTTCAAACTTTTAGAAAAATGTTTAATTTTCAAATCATGGCCTTAATGCGACGATAGGTGGACTTTTGTAAATAATAGGGAACGAACTTTTAATTGTTGTTCACTGATTCGAATCTGTGTTCAAATTGCGTTTCAGTCATAATTATTAGAACGAAATCAAGCGTATTTTTGGGTTTTTTGAATTTGTTAACGTGTTTGTTAAATTATAGGCAATTTCATTTCAAAACATCCACCTTGCAAGAGTTAGAAATATTGAATATTTATTATTACGGCAAACGTTTAAATAGAGTATTGATACTATTGTTACTTGATTATTGAAAGATCTGCCATTTTCATAATACTTAAACGTGCGTGTTACCTATAAGCATATAGTGCCATTTACTATGGTTGGAACTCACATACATTTAAATTATTTCCCAGTTAGAGGTAACTTTATTTATATATTCTACTATTTAATATCTTCTACAGTGCTTAATGGAATGTTTAATGTGTTTTATAAAAGCTTTACCTACTAAGAAATTTCTAAATTAATTCCATGAATTTGTCTCTTGTAGCCCGGTCATGAATATCGAAACCTGCTATTTTAACTGAATAAGTGATCAATCAAGTAAATTTAATTACCTCATTTTAAATGTTTTGAATTTGACTATAATCAAAAGTTGATCTTAAAACATGTAGTCAATTAATCAATAAATATTGGGCCAAGTAGTGAACTCATATATTTCAAAATTTCTACCTTAAGATTCTTAAGCTCCTTATTTCAAAAATTTTTTATTTTATTTGTTGCAATATTGCTATGTTATATTTTTTCTGAAATTTCTGAATAAAATAATTTGAATGAGTGTCTCTAAAATTAAAATACATATCTTTTGAACATTTAATTTCATTAACACGTTTTCATTTTTCTACAATTTTTAGTTGAAGTGCGCGTGCCATGGTGAGAAAAATAGTTTTCCTCTACCTAAATAAATATTCACTTCAGAAATGTGCGCTAGTTTAAAATGAACACTTAATACTTTCATAAAGTTACTTGAATGTATTTGAATTTAAACAAAAAATAGCTGTTTAAGGCACCACTCTCACTTTTTATAACATGTTTGTTTCAATGGAGCCCATAGTAAACAATGGCAAGTTGTTAAAAAGGAGGGATTGCTTTCGATATTTATTGCCTGTCAAAGCAATAGGTTCATGAAAAATACGTCAATTTTTAGATCCCATTTAGGATAGGAATAAGACAGTAAATTGCCCAGCTTTGTCCTTTTGACAAGTTGATGGAAAGCTCAGCCGGAATTGATGGCTATATTTTCCTCCAAATTTACATTCCTCTTTTTCCTCATTTCTCCCCGTGACCTTGAACCTTAAATACTTGCATGCAAACAAGTGTCATAAGAGTTCAAACTGTAGTCCCTTCTCAAAGCGTTTAAATTGTAATTGTTACTGCACATCCTTTGTACTCTCTACTGAAGCTAAAATTTATGAGTAATTTACTTATTTATTTTAATCCACTCATAAAATTTATAACTTAAACTAACACAATATGCACAGTTCAAAACAATCAGCAAAATCTTTGTTTTATACTATACTTTTACAAATTTGAAAGATTTATTTATCTCTTTATCGTCCGAAAGCACGACCTTGCGTTTTCCAACAAATTTATATCAAGATTATGGGAAAAACATCTTCATGGCATTTAAATTTTTAATTAATTAGTTCTAACTTGCTAACTTCTTTCAGAAAGACTTATATAATCTATATTATTAAAAACGCTAAAATTTTTCGACAACATGCAAACGGAAGCAATATGGCATTTTGACAATGATTCAGTAATTCAATAAAAGATTGCAATGATTACTACTCTGAAGCATTTTTAGGGTAATTTTAGCACAATTTCATATATTTGACTCTAAATTTAAATTCTTGTAATGACATCGCCTAAAAATGTCCTACTCTTATTGGTCAAGAGCTTTTAATCTCATTGGCTGAAATAACAAGGCAATTTTGGCTGGCTTAGTATAGAACTCATTCGCAATTGCAACTGGAAGATATGCTTTTGCAGTGCCTACAAAACCTATTTTTCGAACTGTTGGAGTGTTAAAATAGCAAGGTATTGTTTTGTATAAAGGCCTATTACTTGAGTTTGAACGCTATTATCTTATACATGAAGCTTATTATTTATGTTTGGAATTTAAAGCAAATTTCATTAATTTTTAATGACTAATCTCTATAGTGCTCTGTGTAGCAAATTTTTCCACATTTATATTTTAATGCCAATTTCAGTTTAGTTCCAACTTACCAATATATACAACATATCTTTGTTAAACAGCTAAAAAAAGCCTCCATTACCCTAATCCAACCAGTTTCGGGCAAATACATTCAGTGCCATTTTATTATTTTAAAGCCATTTAACTTTGTACAGTGGCAGCCTTTAAACAAAATTCAATGCATTTTAACAAGAGGATTTTTTTCGATTTCATCTATCGATTTATACCCAGTACTAAATGCCGGAACAGCCAAACGACTATAGAGTTGCAGTTTTCGGCGCGAGTGGAGTGGGCAAAAGCTCTCTCGTTTTGCGTTTCGTAAAAGGGACATTTCGAGAGGCCTACATTCCAACAATTGAGGATACCTTTAGACAGGTGGGTACTTTTAACGAGTTACTTTTGTGTTTTAAATTTTGCAATGTAATTGTGAATTTGACAAATTAAACGAATTTTAAAACTTCAAGAATATTGATGATTTATCTAAAACTGAAATTCAAAATTTGTTTTTAATTGAACCAAGTAATTTAATAAAAAGATATGCAGATGGCTTGTTTGAATAGTTCAGTTGCAGATAAAATGTAATGCAAAATGCCCATTTCAATGAAACTCTCACTTACACTTTTTCCCATTGCAGTTTTGAGTAATTTCAGAATGTATTTTAGTCATGGATATTGACATTTATTTCACTTTTACTGAAAATTTTCTCAGTTTCTTTATTAAAAAAATCGGGATATGTCATTCTAAAAGTGGGAAATAAAATATAGGAGTTAAAGTGCAGTCTTTTGTGAATATATCGAATTCCATAAAATTTTGGTGATCAAATTTTTATTTGAACATGACAATTCATTTTTGACATTGACCGTTGATATTTACCTTATTAGAAAAGTTTACTATTTCAATATAGAAACTTTTAATTTTACATTTTTTCTCAATTTCATTTCTCAAAGGAGTAGGGAAATTGAAGCCTTGACCATTCCTTTAGTCATCTATTTTCAAATATTATTTGCAATCAGTTTTTGACCAAAGGTTAATTTTCTTTTATTAAAGAATCAATTATATCTATAGGTGACAAAGGTTGATAGAACCTTTTAGTTAGGTCAATATTTTTTAGACATTCCAATCTCTTTAAAATACCCATTTTCATAAATCAGGTGAATACTGTACCCTAAATATTCATGAAATTCAATTTTCATAAAAAATTACTCGAACGGGTGTCATATTGCTGGTATGTGAAATTTAGTTATGTCAATCTAATCCACTTTCAAGTGGGTTAATCCTCCCTCCTTTTACGTAATGTGTACATAATTTTAGGTAATAAGCTGCAATAAGCAAGTATGCACCCTCCAAATAACAGATACCACAGGCAGCCATCAATTCCCAGCCATGCAGCGTTTGAGCATATCCAGAGGTCATGCATTTATGTTAATCTACTCAATAACAAACCGTGTATCTATCGATGAACTAATCCCAATTTACGAGGAGGTTGTGAGAATAAAAGGACAAGCTGCAATGCAATCGATTCCCGTCATGCTTGTTGGCAATAAATCCGACGAAGAAGAAACTAGCAGAGAAGTTCCAACAAATCAGGGTGAAGAATTAGCTCGAAAATGGAATTGTGGATTTATGGAAACCTCAGCCAAAAATAACCTTAATGTTAAAGAAGTCTTCCAAGAGTTACTTCGTATGGAGACTCGACAGAATATGACACTGGTTGGAGATAGTTCTGATTCTAAGAGCTTTCTTAAATGTTTCCGCTTTCTGCGACACGGTAGCACACAGAGGAGTCCTAAAAGTAGTAAGAGCAACGCGAAGTCGGTTCCCGCAACAACCACTACCTGAGTTATGTAGATTTTGATCCCATCCTATTTATATTCTACCTAACTATAATAAACCAAAAGATGACTCATTAACAGATGATTCATTTTATTTCAGATGTAAACCTTGTATATTTTTAGAAGTTAATTACAAAGATTAATTTTCGACTCAGTATATATATATGTATTTATATATAATTGCATTTTCGAATGACGCGTTATATGAAACAATTAATTGAAATTAGTATTTGTGTCTTTTTTATTTTCTTCAATATCTTTTGGGATAGAAGAGATTTCGTCCTAAAAGACCGTTTATGATTGCACTTACCATAAAACTCCAATAACTACCTTCCCCTTTAACGATTGCAATTATTACCAAAGAAATCCTTACCTCCCGCTTAAAACCATAAACCGCGCAATTAAGAATTAATTAAAAATAAAGAAATTCAAACTATTTATCATAAATTTTATTGTTCGTTAATTAAAAAGCTTTGATCACCGTCTGTATTTTGGTTGGAAAATTGTTCTTTAAAATTATTAATGCACTTCAATTTCCTGAAATTTTGTCAGGCACATACTGTCTGCGGAAATCATTTTCGACATTTTGTTCACCCAACCGCGTTTTTTCGTTCCCATTGGAATAAATTGCAGAAAGGCTGGTAAAAGATCAAATAATTGCTTTTTAAAATTCTGACGACAGAAAAATACGATTTGCCGTGCGGCATAGTTAAAGCAGTTAATTTATCTTTTACTCCCAATTAAATGCATTATAAAGTAAATTCCTCTCATGCAAAAATTAACTTGCCATTTCAACTGTCAGGTTTTTCATCTGTCATTTAAATGCAATCACGAATAGTGTGGTGATTAAGCATGTCGGTATAAAGGAAGGTAATATGCAATGCCATAAAATTCTAAATACCTCTAAGCGTTTATAAATTATAGACAGATTATTCATTGGCAGGTAGAAAATTGTAATATATTTAAACTTATTAAATATTAATTAAAACGACTTTATAGATTTTATTTACACAGAATACATTGTATCAAAATATTTTTTATCTATTTCGTTGAAAAATCATAAACACATAACATATATTTGTATATTTCTCCAATATTAAGTATTTCGCCACTTATATTATTCCACTAATGCACAATGAGCTTACAAATATTCATTCACCCGTCGATCTTATGGCAGGTATACTAGTCTGACAACTACCAATAAACTTTAAATTTTTATCCTCGGTAAAGGAGGAACATTTCGGATTTGCTGCAGTTTATTAGTTAAAGGTCCTAGTTCTTAATCTCATCGGAATAGACTATTTCTTAAAAATATAATTTCGAGCCAACTTATGTCAAAATTGATTATATACAATACGTTTGCAGGAAACCTCACTGCCCAGTTTTGCAATTATTATTTAATCGCTTGCTAATGCAAAATGCTTGGTTTCCCCTCGTAAAATTGTAGGCCCTTACTTGTCTTAATTATACTAGCTTATCAAGCCTTGTTTCCGCATCCTTTTGCATTTAAAAGTACCCTGGCAACCATGTCCTCTCGTCCATAATTGCCCACTCTTTAAATTTCCAAGCACAAAGATATACGCATATGCTTGTGGAATTGTTGTTTGCTCCTAGCTTTAGTCTTCAATCCCCCTTCAATGCAGTTCAATAGTCAACAATTCCCTGTCTCTTAAATCAGTCAATTTTGATTCTATTTAATGTGCACTAATTTTTAAAAAATCTAATTAAGAGTAAATCTAAAAGTTTGAAGGTCTTCTTTACACGCCGTGTGTTTACTAATATAAACCATAGATGTATTAAATATTAAAATTAAAATTTAAAGCCAGTCATGTTACTGATGCCAATGCGGCATAGTTCTTCTATTTCATAGCGCTTTTAAACTGATTTCAAATGTTTAAGACCCTATTAACCAAAAGCCACGTTTTGGTTGGCATATTTTAATATTTTGTAAATTCGTTGACAATTTGACATTCTACGAAGGGGGGGGGGGGTATTTCCTGATATACTTACTTCCCAATAAATCAAAAATTCACTTGAGATACCGCGAGCATTGCAAGTGAATGTTACGATTTCCCTGCACTACTGGCGTTTTGCACTTTGCTTCACTTTATTCCATTGTTTTATTAATTTCAGTCTTTTTAGATTTCAATCTGTTCTGCAACATAAGGAATAACAAAATTTAGCGCTAATCCTATTAATGACCTGATATTCAAATGAATTTAGCCCTCACATATTAAAAGAACATTAAACGCTTATGCTCCGTTTTTCTGACCTTGGGGGGTTGTATACGGCCGTTGAAAATCATGTCTAGATATAGCTCACACTGAAATACAATTAATTAATCGAAACTATTCATTTATATCCAATAGTCATTTCAATTTTTCCATTATTTTTTGCTAATTACAATGCTCATGTAAACATCATACAATATTTTAACAAGCTAATTGCTTTTTGGAACTAGAATTGCAATCAAATATCAATTTTTCATTGTTACAAAACCCATTTCATGTTATAAATAAACGAGCAAATTATTCTTACCAAATAGCTTCGTTTGATTTTGAAGAAAGAGCAAAACAAAGTCAACAAGTTTGTAAGTTTAATAATTTCAAATTTTTCTTTGCGAAGTGAAACATTCTTTAAATCTATTCCAAAAGTAAAGTAATTCTCCAGTCCTCATATAATTCTAATTGCTTTCAGTGAAAAAAACAAGATTAGCTGATTCTAAACATATTTAAATTATTCCCTGCTTAATGGTCTCATTGGCGTCAGTTAAGATATTAGGAGCAATTAATATTAGCACTGCTTGCTATATGTGAATATTCCCATTGGTAATTTCCAAGTCAATGTAGGCCAATTTCTTTCTGTTTTCTTTAGCGGCATTCGCTAAGCCTTGCCTGATTTTAAAAGAATCATACAAAATTATCTTTTAACGGTCATTCAGAATGCCGGGTAAATGAATGTAAGTATTAAAACCAGTTAGTTTATCTTGGTTAGTTTGGTTTAAACTTAATCAATCATTAAACTGCTCAGTCACATTTTCAAAATTTTAATTTTTCAACTTGTTTTTCATACTTCATTGAAAATCGTTCCGATGACAATAATATTTTATTCGTCTTCATGTTATTTTGTACAGGTAATAACAATTACAATAATAAATAACTATTTGTAATGGTCATTGCAAGAAAAAGTTATCATTATTCAACTTGCCTCTATGAAAAAAACGCAGGGGAAATAGCACAAATCGGAAGGTTGATTTTCCCGCTTATCATTTATTTATACCTGAACGCTTCTGTCAATAATTAGGGTACACTCAATGCGTATGATTGTCATATAGCAACGACTAAATACACTTCGTTGCCAAATGCAAATGTAAATTACTGTTTATTGCTGTTTTAAAAAAAAATTTATACTTCAATACAGTATTATTATTATTATTTCAAATGGCAGGGGTTTTGAATAGTCATCATTACCCAATTAGTTGATTTTGGGCTTCACAGAAGGAGGAACACTAAAGTGAGAAAAAGGGGAGAGGGGAAACAGAAGAGTGATTCACAAATGTGGAAGGTGCGGACAGACACAAAGGTAGAGAAAAGATGAGATGTGTACTGTGGAAGTTGAGCAATATGACATACAGTGGGGTCATGATAATTTGAAGTCAGAAGTCAGCTGCCGATTAATAGACTTTTTCGCCCAGGGTGCACCATGTAGAGGTAAGTCTATCGCACACGCCATGTTTCTATACATAACTTCCACTATTTTGTTACACAACAAAGCCACTTTAATTAACATTGAGGGAATTTTCGGGGGGGGGGTCGCTTTCATTATCTTATTATTTACCATTAATGATAGATTAATTAAGACCTACTTTAGTGACATAGAGTTTTCTATTTACCCTAAGCTGATGGATGTTTGAATATGATAAACGGGCATAAACAAGAATGTAAATGTACAACGGATGTGGGTGGAAGGCTGAATTGCATATAAGCAAAATAGGGAGATGCTCTACATTGAGCCCAGTCGAAAAGACTCGAAAGGTTTTAGCGTTTAAAGAGATTGGCATTTGTTAATGAAATCAAATTTACAACTTTCTATGGTCAAAGTTTAGCCATGACCAAAGTGATTAAAACTGGTTTATTTATATTAGCAAAATATTTAATTTATCAATAATACACATATTTCGGTCTCAATTAGGAAAACACAAATTTCTCTCGTTGCTTCAAAATTCAACTATATAAAGGGACATAAGTCAAATTAATTCATTTATGCTACTTTCGAAAAAATACAAATAATAATTTCGTTTGAGGGTAATATTTATCTTACTCTTTCCTCTCTAATTCGATTGATTGCTGACAAATCATTATAATGTTTAATTACTCGTGCCATTCATGAGATGATAGAAAATTAGCCAGAGTACTAAGTCACTAATCTTTAATAAACTGCAAGACACTTTAACTGAATGAATTTAATAGATATCCCCTTTTACCGTTAACTAACATATTAATACCAGAATAATGGCGTTTGTGATAAATTATGGATTAAATCGCTTATATTTAATTATTTTTAGATTTAGTTCATTCTTTCAACTCGCACAAAACTTTTGACTTGGAATTAAGAAGGTCTAGATTCACAAACAGTCATTTGTTGGAAGATATATTTTGTTAAATTATAGAGATATACCAATTTTCCCAGAGGTTTATTATCAACTGGAACACAAAACGGGTCGGATGTTTAGCGCAATCCGCAGGAGAAACGAAGGGAGTTTGTATAAAATTTATTGAGGTTGTCTGGTTTGGAATTATTTAATCTGCATCACTGCAGTGGACCTTGTTTTTATTATATAATTTGTAGTTATTAGGTATGAATGAGGTCAAGAGATTTTAGCTACATCATCGTATTTCTTGTAAAAATTAAATCAGACTTTAGATTGTGCAAAGAATAGGGTCATTTGGAAGTTAAAAATAAAGTCAGTTTACAAAATGAGAATAGCCATAAATTTACTCAATCCAT